ACACTGAACACCTCTGTCACACTGTGTGTAGAGTCACACTGAACACCTCTGTCACTCGGTGTAGAGGGACACTGAACACCTCTGTCACTGTGTGTAGAGTGACACCCACTGAACACCTCTGTCACACTGTGTAGAGGGACACCCACTGAACACCTCCGTTACACTGTGTTGAGGTACACAAGCTGGACACCTGTCACTGTGTGTAGAGGGACACACACTGAACACCTCTGTCTGTGTAGAGTGACACACACTGAACACCACTGTCAGACTGGGTTGTTTTGAGACCGGAGTGAGAGACACACCTCACCACCAGTTGCCCTCCTGTCCATCGGTCCACACGTTAGCAGAATAAACCCGCCGACTCAGCACACCGGAACATCAGCCCGAATTTACCCGAGTCGGCTGCCGGCGCTCTCGGTGTGGCAGCGGCCGGTGGCCGCGCTGCTGGTCTCGCTGTGTCCGCCAGGCGGCGACAAAGCTTTAACTCAGCTGTAATACTCGTGCCGTATAATCCTGTATAGAGGTGCAAACCCTTGCCCTCGGCGGAACTTGTAATGTCCGTCTTAGTTTCAGGAAGACATAAAGGAATACCTACCTGTCTTTTAAAATCTGTTATTGGTATTAACAATGCATTTGATTGTTAAAATGAGTTGACGGCTCACGTGTTAAACAGGTCACGATAAAGAAGCAAAATGTGCTTCGCTCTCATTGTGTTGAAATTCAAACAGGAGCAGTCTGCCAGCAGCGCGGCGGTCAGCGGGAGGTTCGGCCCACACAGAACTAGAGGTCCGAACCGTGAGCCGGGCCTTCGCCACGACTCCCTGTGACCTCGTCCAGGGTGACGACACGTCGAGCAAAGGGCAGGACTCGTATACTCGGTGCTTTACGGTCACGAGTCGGGTCAGGCTGTGACGCGGCGGGACCGGAAGAGAAACAGACTCGGGCGGACAGTACAGCACCACCTGTTCTGCCAGAGCCAACGTCCGAACCGAGCTCGGCCCGGACGCGGGAAGGGATGACTGCAGCGGCGGCAGGAGCGGTCGGACGGGTGGCGGCGGGCCCGACCTCGCTGGCCCGGTTCCGGGGCGCCCTGGTCGGGGCGGTGCTGGGCGACTGCATCGGCGGGGAGTTCGAGGGCGCCGAGGAGGTTCCGCTGGACCGGGTCCTGCAGCACCTGAACTCTATGGAGCAGGAGAACCGGGGAGACGGTGCGGTCTTTGTGAGGTTGATTTTGATCGGGATGTCGTGCGGTGTTCGTGAGGGTTGGAGCTGTCGCAGCGCCTCTCCCGGAGCCTGGGGAGCTGGTACCGGTCGACCCGGAGCCGCTCAGTCATGGCTCCGGTACTGCCGAGCCCGTCGACTCGGGCAGTGAGACCCCAGCGCGGAACAGGCGCGTCCAACAGCTGGTCTGCGTCCCTGTCCCAGGGGATCACACAGCCCGTGACAGACAGGACGGGACTGTCCTAACCCGAACCTCACCGGCCAGTCCTGGGTCCGGGGAGCACAGGGGCGCGCTGCATCCAGGTGAAGTGACCCCTGACCTCTGGGCAGGCCCAGCTCATCCTACAGTAGGGTACTGGTTTATACATGCTGGTCTGGGAGAGCGCCACCTGCTGGTCGGGCAACTTGTACTTGCAGCAGCAGCCTGATCTTACAGGTCTCCGGCTCTGAGCTGAGCACAGGGCCTGTCACCCTTCCGGAGGTTCCCGCCAGCAGAGCGTGAGCCGGCCGGCCCGCTGGTCTGGGGGCTGCTCTCAGCGTCGTGCGGTTTGTTGTTACAGCTGTCCTGCAGTACTCTGACGACACGGCCATGACGCGCTGCGTGGTGCAGTCACTGCTGACCCGGGGCGAGTTCGACCAGGTGGACCTGGCGCACAGGTGAGAGGCAGCCCCCCCTCTCTCTCAGAGTGACCCCTCTTTCTCCCTCTCTCTTTCTCTCAGTGTGACCCCCTCTCTCTCTCTCTGAGGGACCCCTGTCTCTCTCAGTGTGACCCCCTCTCTCTCTCTCTGAGTGACCCCTGTCTCTCTCAGAGTG